AGTGGTAAATTTTCAATGATGGATGAGAATCAATTTAAAAGAAAAAAATGGCAAAGAATTTTGATATCATTTTATTTTAAACTGCCCAAAAATATCTGCATAACTTTAGCTAAGACTGGATAATGTTTCGAAGAACTTGAAGCCTCACATCTTGTTTAAATAGGTAAGTCTGAAATCACATTACATACTGCTGTACTAAATTGGAAAATCATATAGATTTGGTAATGTTAAATTTCATTCCCTTAGTCAAGCACATAGAGATAAACAACTTAAGGTGTATTTTCATTTGCCACAAAATTCTAAATATATGTGAATTCTCAGTGATAATTTGATGATTGAGAGGTGTGAACCTGAAGTACGTCAAATAAAACTAAGACATCATTTTACTGCTGGTTTCATAATAGAAATAACCCTACATACTAACATCTTCACCTGAAAAATGAAATCATGGGCCAGCATTGTGGCATAGCAGGTAAAGCCATTGCTTGCAATGCTAGAATCCCATATGAGTGATGGTTCGGGTCTTGACTACTCCATTTCTGATTCAGATCCCAGCTAATGGCCTGGGAAAGCAAGAGAAATGTCCCAAGTGCTTGTGTCCTGAACGCATGTGGGAGAACTAGAAGAAGCTCCTGGCTCCTGGCTCCAGCCCAGCCCAGTCCTGGCCACTGTGGCCATCTGGGAAGTGAACAAACAGATCTTTCTTTCTTTCTTTCTTTCTTTCTTTCTTTCTTTCTTTCTTTCTATCTTCTTTCTCTATTTCTTTCTCTTTCTCTCTTTCTCCCTTTCTCCCTCTCCCTCTCTGTAACTCTTTCAAGTAAACAAATCTTCAAGGACAAATGAAACAGCACAAAAAGCACTATGCATACATCCAGCATACAGCTTGCTGTTCTCTTTCCGGTGATCATTTTGTCTCCATCTGATGTTTGGAGTAAATAAAAAGCAGATGTGGTTTTCCTTAGGCAAGGCAAAGGAATGAATGAGCTATTCGCAACCCTTATCTCAAGACCCCAAAGTAAAGGATGCTCTTGGTGAACGGAAAGGTATTTCACTTCGCAGCACAGTAGGCAGTGTCTTTCAACCTAGCCAAGCACCATTATTCACAAATCCCATCCTAGGGGAACGTGGCTGCCAAGGAGCTACATGGCTTATTATCTTTCCACGTGTGAGCTTTTCTAGAACGTGGGACTCCCAAAGGGATTTATACGACTTCCTGACAGCCCCTAAGCATACAGTTATCGTAGAAGGTAAAAGAAAATTGGCCATGGAGATTCAGAGCTGATTAACAGCAGTCTTGCTCATCAGTCACTCTCTGGAAGCCAATTAAGCGAAGTACTCAGATGTAACACTTTAACACCAGGAATTAAAATGGGCAAAAAAGTTGAAATTGTCATAAAATTCACCATTGTAAGTGAAGTAGCTTTGAAAATGTGCCTTTAAAGGGGAAAAAAAAGCATATTTATGCCCCCAATTGCTAAGCAAAAATAAAGGGAAAGTGTCCTGTGAGGCAGCCAAAATGACCTCATGGATCTTTTTCAGCCTTCCATTTGGGGAAAAGAGGGTCTTTGCTCTCAAAGGTATGTGAAATCCATCTTCTCCCAGGGTACACTCAGCAGGATCTAGTGAAACACTTCATGCAGAATTCCTTAAAAGTAAAGACAGGCAACTCACCACCTTACACCTTCCTCCCCTGTGAAGCCGACTCATGGCACCAACAAGCTCAGAGCAGAAGGAAGGGGAAGGGGCTGGGTAAAGCTGCCACCTGCAGCACAGGCATCCCATATGAACACCAGTTCAAGTCCAGGCTGCTCCACTTCCGATCCAGCTCTCTGCTGTGGCCTGAGAAAGCAGTGGAAGATGGCCCACGTCCTTGGGCCCCTGCACCTACACGGGAGACCTGGAGGAAGCTCCTGGCTTCGGATCAGCGCAGCCGTTGCAGCCAACTGGGGAGTGAACCAGTGGATGGAAGACCTTTCTCTGCCTCTCCTTCTCTCTCTGTGTAACTCTTTCAAATAAATAAATCTTTTTAAAAAAGAAGAAGAAGAAGGAAGGGTAAACAATTAAACAATTTATGCCTCTCATGTTAAGTAGTTTGGGCACATGTCTTATCCCTTCTGAAATTCTTTGAGGTCAGAGACAGTGCCCTGTCCCCAGCCACACAGTAAAGCTGTGGATATACTGGCAGACGAGAGAAAGCAGTCCTATGTGTCTTGCATGCATGCTTTCCACGCATGTCTTTCTCTTTAGCATCACTGTCACGCACACAGCTGTTGCGCCACGGATTTTATGACATAATCAGGAGAGAATGGTTATGATGAGGGAAGAAGAGTCCCGGGTTCTGAACCTGAAATCCTGAAAATGAAGAGCCCCAGTTTATGCTGGTGTCAGGTGATTCTAACACCCACTGTTAAAAATGACCTCAGCTACTCAGGCCACAGCATTCTCAGTCCATACCCTGGGCCCTCTTCAAGCTCCAGATGAAAACACTTGGCCTCTCTTCCAAACTGCCCTTGACATCAAGAGGAGAGTCCCCAAATTTCCACGCTACAGAACAAACACCAGTCTCGCTGCTCACTACGCCAGCTCTTACCACCTATCTGCTTTGAGATGTGGATGGGTGTGTCTCCTTATTTCTAATTTATTCAGCACCTCAAAAAGCTCATCACCCTGACAGCCTTCCTCCCCAGACTCTTTGTACCAGCTAGCTGCATGCTGGCTTTTTGGGAACTCATCTCCGATCCATCCCCAGATCCTGGGACATTTCCAATGTACTCTCTGGAACCCACAGTAAATTCAGCAAAATCCCCTGTATCCTTAACGTACCCAACTTGACTTGGCTCTCCCATCAGGATATGGTTTTCCTTCAGCTCCCCAGACTGTCACACCACTACTCCTCCTTGTTGTCCTTATCTACACACTGGGGTGCTTTCCTTTACTTGGTAAAGAATCAAGCTCACCCTCACTGTCACTTCCGGCCCTCTACTCACTGTCAGCTTTCATGCCTCCAATATCCACCTGGGTAACCTTTCTGATACTCTTGAGCTCACCTCCTTCAGTGTCCTCACCTTCCACCTCACCCAGCCACCTTTAACAGCAACTCCGCCTTAAGCTAAGGAGCAAGCATCCCGCTCCCCTACCACCACCTTGTGTCCTTCCAGCTCTTTCCCTGCAATACCCTAACCCCAACCAGGACCTATTACTTTTCCCCACATCCTTCTAATATATGTTTTACTATCCCTTCCTAAGTTTAAAATCCACAGACCATTGTCTCCCTTTTATATAAAACCTCAACTCTCTTATCCCCTTACATGATGGTTCTAACTTGCCAAAATCCTAACCATGGTTAAACGCAACTCTCCACCTGTCCTGTCATGTATGAAGCTGAATGTGACTAGAGAAAAAACAGTCTTGCTTCTGTAAATTGTAATCACCATCTCAATGTTCTAACTCTCCTGAAAGGTATTCTCTCATTTCTTTCTTCAGTCCTCAAAAATCCAGAACCTGGGGCTGGTGTTGTGGCGTAGCAGGTTGGGCCACCACCTGCTGCAGGCAATCCATATGGGCACTGGTTAAAGTCCTGGCTGATCCACTTCTGATATAGTTCCCTGCTGATGTGCCTGGGAGGGCAGCAGAGGATGGTGCAAGTGGTTGGGCCCCTGCCACCCATGTAAGAAGACCAGGAAGATGCTCCTGGCTCCTCCCTTTAGCCAGGCCCAGCACCGAGCTTGTGGCCATTTTGGGGGTGAAATGGCAGAAGGAACATCTCTTTCTCTCTCTCTCTCTCTCTCTCTCTCTCTCATCACCTTTCAAAGAAACACATAAATCTTTTTTTAAAAAATCCAGAACCTCATTTTCACTGTCAACTAATAACTTTTTCCTATATCTCTAAAGAAAGAATAGTTCTAGAAACTACTGCCACCACTTGTACCCACCCAGTCACACATAGTAAATCTTCCCTGCTCTCATTTAGAGCCAACTCCTCTTCCTGGGCACGGAGTCCCATACTGGCAATCACACAGTGCAGGGCTGCACGACTCGGTCCCTGGATCTCCTCTCTACGTTCACTGCTTTAGTGAGCTAGCAATCTATGGGCTGATGACCCCAGGTTCACATTTGGAGGCCTCACGCATCTCATAAACTCCAGTCTCAAGTGCCTAACTGTAGTAGGCATGCTTCTGCTTTAATAAAATATATAATAAACAATCCACAAACACATTGGCTTATGATAACAAGTAGTCGCTTCTTGTTGAATTTTCTGCAGGTTTGCCAAAGCATCTCTGCCTCAGGCTACAGGTTCAGTTCAGATCTGCTCCACAAAGCTCTCTTTCTGGTACCAGCAGCTCCTCATGGGTATGCTCCTCTCCTGGCAAAGTACAGTCTTCAAAGTGACTGTTGTATTTTTGCCTATTTACTATCTATGGTCTCAGCCCAATTGGCACAAAGACACTTCCAACCCACATTTAATTCCCCAAAGCAATGAATACAGCCATGCCCAGCACCAGGGAGGCAGAAATGCATACTCTGTCCAAGAAGCTATACCAAGAATGAGAGCGGAGGGGAAGCAGAACTGTGAGCAACTAACAGATTCATTCACACTGAGTCTCCATTCAGTGTCTGCAATTAGATGTCAAATAATCTCAAAACCTGTCATGAACAAAACTTAGTTCCAAACTTGCTTCTCCTGCAGCCTTCCAGGTACCTTAAAAAAATCTATTGTTGCAATTGTCTCATAAGGTTCAAAGCCACCACTGACTTTCTCTCTCTCTCATACCCATCCAATCTCTACCTTCAACATTATGCCTGGAAACTGATTGCTCCCCATCACTTCCGTTTTTACCACCAGGGTTCAAGTGATCATCCTCTCTGTTCAGGAGTATAGTAATAGCCTCCAAGCCAGTTTCCATGTTTCTTTTTTTAAGATTTATTTATTTATTTGAAAGGCAGAGTGATGGAGGTAGAGATGGATAGATACATACATACATACATTCATATATACATACCTGACATCCTCTGGTTTACTCTCCAAATGGCTGCAATGCCCGGTACTGGTGTAGACTGAACCAGGAGTCAGGAACTGCATCTGGGCCTCCCTCCCACATGGATAGGTGGTGCTGAAGCGCTCAGGCCATCCTCCACTGCCTTCTCAGGTGCATTAGTAGGATGCTGCATTGGAAATGGAGCAGACAAGATTCAATCAGCACTCAGTTGTGGGATGCTGGTGACACACGAAGTGGCTTAACCCACAGTGCCAATAATGCTGATCCCAGTTTCCATGTTTCTACCCTCAAGCCCCTAGTGTGTATTCTCAATATGACAACTAGAATGATCCTTTTTTTTATATAAATAAATGTTATTTTAATGTTATTTGAAGGGCAGAGAGACAGATCTCCCATCCATTGGTCCACTACCCTAAATGCCTACAACAGCCATGACTGGGCCAGTCTGAGCCAGAACCTGGGAATTCAGAGCTAGCACTGCGGTGTAGTAGGTTAAGCCTCCACCGACCTTCATCAGCATCCCATATGGGCGCCAGTTCATGTGCCAGCTGCTCTTCTTCTGATCTAACTCTCTAATTATGGCCTGGGAAAGCAGTGGAGGATGGCCCAAGTGCTTGAGCCCCTGGACCCACTTGGGAGACCTGGAGGAAGCTCCTGACTCCTGGCTTTGGATCTGCTCAGCTTCAGTCTTTGCAGCCATTTGGGGCGTTAACCAGTGGATGGAAGACCTCTCTCTCTCTCTCTCTCTCCTCTTCCCCCTTCCCTCCCTCTGTAGCTCTGCCTCTCAAATAAATAAACATTAAAGAGAGAAAAGAAAAGAAGAAAGAGGAGAGGAGAGGAGAGGAGAGGAGAGGAGAGGAGAGGAGAGGAGAAAACCGTAAACTCAATCTAGACCCCTGACATGGTTGAAGTGACTCAAATACTGGAGCTGTCACTTGATGCTCCCAACAGTGTGCCTTATCAAGCAGCTAGAATTGGCAGTAGAGCTGGGACTCAAACCTAGGTACTATGATATGGGATGTAAGCATCCCAAGTGGCATCTTAACTAGTATGCCACATGCCTGCTCCAGAATTAGCCTTTCAAGTTAGATGACATCACTCTTCTGACGAATCGATCGATCATCAAACCCCTTTACAACCCTGACCTCATCGTCTACCATCCTCCCTCTCACTCTAGTGCTACCACCCCCTACCTGCCAACCCTTAAGCACAACCTTCCTTCTCCAGAGCCTGTGTACTTGCTCTGACCTCTGCCTAGAATATCCTTCCCCCACATGTTTGTATGGTTCCTTCCCTTTCCTCATTAGGGATCTTATTCAAGTGTCACCCTCTCAGTGAAGACTCCCTGAACATGGAATTGCATGGTACAATAATAAGCGCTGTGATGAAGGAAACAAACACAGCTGTGGGAGCCCAGAAGAGCATCCACCCCAGACTATGAGTCACTACACAAATCACTATTAGGAAGGTGCCAATGAGGGCAGCGGATCATTATGCCTTGCCATAGGTAATCCTGAAATTCACTACAAAGAGGTAGATGCCTCTCCCTGATGCTTCTCTGATCCACTGAAGTTGGGGTACACCATGTGGCCTTCTTGGGCCAGTGGATTGTTTGAGGGGCACCGACATAAGCAGAGGCTTCAAATGTGCCACAGTGGTTTGGCCTGATCACTTCTCTTTCTATCATCTGCCTTGAAGAAAGCACACATAAGACTGCTTTTGATCCCTGAGACTCATGCAGATAAAACCTAAACCCAAACCCAGTCAAGCAGAGAGCATCCTAGCCCAGCTAAGCACAGTACAGTCCAGCGAGCTAGATCCGACCTACAAGTCCATTGGAAAAAAATTAGTTTGTTTTTGGAAGGCATTAGTAATTTGAAGCTGTCTGTTAGGCAATGTTCTTGCCTTCAGGTTTTTGCTGCAGTAACACTATTCCATCTAGAAATATGTCTCTGTAATTTTCTCAATGTTTTCTTCATGTCCCATAAATATTTTCATCCATTCTCTATTACCCAGCTATCACCATCGTTCTTGCCTCTTCACTGATAACTTCTTGAAGCAATAGTCATATTATTCCTCTCCTCTTCCTCATTTCCCAACCTGACCTTAACCCCTCCAACAGATGTATGTCCTGACATCCTAGAGACCATTTTCTTAAATGATACTAATTCCTATACCAAAGGATGAACAACAATGGATGTGACACAGAGCTAGACAAGTAGCAGTCATGAGAACTGAATTCATCAACAAATGATAAGATCTGAATCACATCAGAGTAGAAAATGTAAAGGAATTTGAAAAGCACACTTAGCACAATCTATTGGCTTCTTTCTAACTCCTCCCCCTTTTAATTTCTATATTAAAATAATTCATCCTATGAATAAGGAGTCAGTCTCAGTTTTCTCAAAAACTACTTTGGTAATTTTACATAATAAGTTTTAACTTCTCTGTACACTGACATTTTCATTCATAAATTTAGAAAAGTAAACTGCATGGATTTTGAGCAGGAACTCCTGGAAATTTTTCAGAATTCACATAACAAGTGAACTTCTTTTGCCTCCATCCAATTTTGATGTAACCCCTTTGGTGTAAGGAAGGGTTTTGGCAATAGAAGATGCTTGACCTAATCAATTATTCTTTGTAATTGATCACATGCAGGATAGCATTCAGAACCAGTAAGGCAGACATTGTTTAGCATCCACTTAAATACTTAGAATGTGTGCTTGACTCCTAGGGATTGTGGTCTGAACTCTTACTGAAATAATGTTTTGTATTTCCAATGAAGTGTGTCTGCATCATCTAATGAATATATGCTTTTTTTCCATTCACAAGCTTCACCAAAACACTGGATACTAATAAATATCCTTTATATTAATTTACCTTCTCACACCCTCAGAATACTATGAATGCAAGAGCTTTTATGTCAAGCATAAGCTTGGCAGTGGCATATATTAATTTCTTCATATGACCCATAACATTGGAGGTCATAAAGAACTTGAAATCTAGTGTGAGTTAACGACCTGTGTATTTTAGATAGAAAAATTTTTTCATACCACATAAACATTTGAAAGAATTGCAGTCGTTGGATGCTTTCTTCGTTTCATTATATCCTTATTCTGAAAACAACAGTGGGTATTTTTAATTAAATATGATTTTTTATGAAACAAACACATTTGCTTTCTCCATACTAATCTTCAGCCATTTCAATATGAATTCACATACACTCAATTTCTAAATGTCTAAGACCCTGCTACACATAAAAATATCAAGCAGTTTCCCGGGGAACATTGCTTCAAAACAATGACCATATGAAAAAGACTCCTCTGAGCAAACATATCCGTCCCATCCCCCAGCACTAGGAAGCATGAAGAGGGAGCGACTCCTCTCCAAACAAAGAGAACAAGCCCTCACTTAACCATCCCAGAGAAGCGGAGAATTTTCTCCCTAAAAGCATAATTATTCTATCAGGTGGCAGTAGGGGAATGGACTGAGGCTGTGACCCTGGAAAGCTTCCAATTCCTCTACAGCTGGAAAGCAGCTGGCGGGGCGGCCCAGCTCTCCTACCTCCCGTGCGGCATCATGGCCCCACTCACGCCAAAGGCCACAAGCTCAAGGATTTGGAGGACCGGAGCAGAAAAACCAGCGAGGCTCCAACAAAGCGCAGTCTCAAGTTTTTACTGCCCAAAGGCCGGGTAAAGTCAGGGGGCCGTTAGCCACACCGCATCCATTCTGCGTAACTGTTATCTACCCACCTGTCAATCAGATGACCCCTCCCCCAGGAAGTACTTCCCCTTGCCCGGGACTTGGGGACAGTACTATGTAAATACTTCCGTTTTCTGTAAGAAGCTCGCTTCTCTCTTCTCGCGGACCCTGAGCAAGCAGGGGATGAAAGTCCGTCTTTACCTTTTCTGACCCACTTTCCCTAAATTAAGCACACAAGTGTATTTTCCTCACTTTGTAAGTAAATATTGTAGCGTTGCACACGTCATGTTTGTGCCTGTACTTAGAAATCTCTAAGTAAAAGGCAAGCGTCTGGAATAGGAATTTAGGCCCAACGTAGCCCACAAGATCACAACTGTTAGATGGCCCAGTCCTCCACTGGTCCCGCGACCCTTCTGTCAGATGCCAGCGGGCCCGTTCCTGCTTTGCACTGCACTTTTTGAGACTTGGCCCAGGCTTCCCCACATTTTCCATGATTTTGCCCATTGATATCCTAATCGCCTTGTTCTCTGTGCACCACCCTCCCCAGCTGTGAACAGTTCTCAAGGAGGTTGAAGGCTAGTCTTAGCATAGTAGCCCCTGCTCCAAATACTGCCCGGCCTGCAAATGTTTAGGAAATCTGTGTGGTAAATCTGCTCTTTGTGTTAAGAATGGGTAGGGGCTGGCGCTGCAGCTTAGCTAATGCATCTGGGAAACCAGTGGAGGATGGCCCAAGTGCTTGGGCCCCTGCACCCTTGTGGGAGACCTGGAAGAAGCTCCTAGCTTCATGCTGGCTCAATCCTAGCTGTTGTGGCCATCTGGGGAATGAACCAGCAGAGGGAAGGTCTCCCTCTGTCTCTCCTTCTCCCTCTCTCTAACTCTGCCTTTTGAATAAATAAGTCATTAGGAAAAAATTCCTGGCAGGAATTCAAGTACTTGGGTCATCATCTGCTGCCTCCTAGGATACATTAGTAGGGAGCTGGATGGGGAGTGGAGTAGCCATTACTTGAACTTGCACTCCATCTGAGATGCAAGCATCTCAGGCAGAGGCTGACCCCACTGAATCACAATGTCCCCCAAAAAATTATTTTGTAAGTGACATGATGCAGCTAAAATGTAGACCTAATAGTTGTACATGTGTTTGTTTCTTGATCTCTTTTATAATCCTATTATGCATAAAACATTTAACTTAAGTTGCACGAGATGACAAGAGATCTACAAATCATGATTACCTTAAAATCAAGAGAAAGGGCACTCCAAAGAACTGTTGTTCAAGTCTTCAGACTCGGGCAAGGAGAAGAGCCAGAAACTAGATTCTCGAGTCATCTTCAGAGGTGCTGCTTGCTTAGGTTTGGCCTCTGGAGCTGGCGTATGCCCCTGTAAGATACCTATTTTTTGAGTGGTGCTTTTCTAATTAGAAAACAATATAATTCAGAAAAGATTCAGAAGAGATTAAAACCAACCATACTCTACCACCCAGAGAGTCGCTGTTAACATTTTGGCATGGCGGGTGAAGCCACCTGTTGAGATGCTGGGATCCCATGTCAGTGACGATTAGTGTCCTCCCTGCTTCACTTCCCATCCAGATCCCTGCTAATGGCCTAGGAAGAAGCAACGTAGCATGATCCAAGTACCTGGGCCCCTGCTACCCTTGGGGGAGACCTGGATTAAGTGTCTGGCTCCTGGTTTCTGCCTGGCCTAGTACTGGGCCATCTGGCAAATGAACCAGTAGGTGGAAGATCTCTCTTTTGCTCTGTAACTCTTGACTTTCAAATGGATGAATAACCTTAAAAATAAAAATAAAAAAACATTTTTGGCACAGCTCTAAACTTACTGTGTGATTTTATATTTATTTTTTAAAGACCCAAGCAATATCATAGCATAGATACAATTTCATAGTGCACATTTTTCATAGAAACCTTTGTTGTAAACATGATCTCTATGTTATATATTCCAATAAGATTTTTAATTATTTTAGTGAATTCTAATATACCATGCTAAAATTTATTTAACAAATACTCATCCAGGAATACTTAGGTCATTTCACTCATTATTTTAAAAGATTTATTTTATTTATTTGAAAGACAGAATGACAGAGACAGACAAAGAAATCTTCCATCCACTGGTTTATTCTCCAAATGGCCCCAACGGCCAAGTCTGAGCCAGGCTGCAGCCAGGAGCCTGGAGTTCCATCTGGGTCTCCCATGTAGGTGACAGGGGTCCATGTACTTGAGCCATCATCCACTACCCACCCAGGAGCATTAGCAGGAAGATTGACCAGAAATGGAGCAGCCCAGACTCCAGCTAGAGCTCTGATACGGAATGTCAACATCACAAGTGGCAGCTTAACCTGTTGCATCTCAACACTGGCTCCTCCCTGTTCTAATTCATAACATCTTCATGTGGTATGTCTTCATACCTACCTCTGATAATCTCCATAGGGCAAATTCTAAACTGCAGAATCATAGACTGTAAGTATGTTAAGACTTTTGTTAGAGGGCCGGCGCTGTGGCTCACCAGGCTAATCCTCAGTCTTGTGGTGCCGGCACACTGGGTTCTAGTCCCGGTCGGGGCGCCGGATTCTGTCCCGGTTGCCCCTCTTCCAGGCCAGCTCTCTGCTGTGGCCAGGGAGTGCAGTGGAGGTTGGCCCAAGTGCTTGGGCCCTGCACCCCATGGGAGACCAGGAGAAGCACCTGGCTCCTGCCTTCGGATCAGCGCGGTGCACCGGCCGCAGCGCGCCAGCCACAGCGGCCATTGGAGGGTGAACCAACGGCAAAGGAAGACCTTTCTCTCTGTCTCTCTCTCTCACTGTCCACTCTGCCTGTCAAAAAATTAAAAAAAGAAAGAAAGAAAGAAAAGACTTTTGTTAGACTTGACCAAAGTATTACAAAGAGAAGTACTAACAGTGGCAAGTCCATCCTCAGTGTGTGAGAATGGACACCGGAAAGAGCACCATACCTGACAAGGTCCACGCAGGAAAGTTACAGTAAAAGAGAGATTCTGCTACCTCGGAGGCCAGAGATTGAGAAGTAGGACATTTACACTAAAAAGTAAAAACTAAGTAAGGCTTACAAATAACATGATTTTTTTTAAAGAATTATGAGTGTCAGGGTAATGAAGATTTGTTTGTTTATTTTAACGATTTATTTATTTATTTTAAAGAGTTATACAGAGAGAGAAGGAGGCAGAGAGAGAGAGGTCTTTCATCCACTGGTTTACTCCCCAGTTGGCTGCAATGGTTGGAGCTGGGCTGATCTGAAGCCAGAAGCAGCTTCTGCGTCTCCCAGGCAAGTGCAGGGACCCAGTGACTTCGGCCGACTTGTACTGCTTTCCCAGGCCATAGCAGAAAGCTGGATCAGAAGTGGAGCAGCTAGGACTCCAACCAGCGCCTGTATGGGATGCCGGCACTGCAGGCGGCAGCTTTACTCACTATGGCACAGCACCGGCCCCAAATAAGGTGATTTGATAGCACTTCTCAGCATCTATGAATACTGCACAATGGGATTCCAGTCTCTTCTCAAGAATGCAAATGTTGAGCATGAACTAAAAGCCGTTTCAATCTGCTTTGGTCTGAATGTTTCTTCCTGGCTTCACCGGCCTCCTGTTAGAGGTCAGAGTCACCCTTTTCTCATATGGGACTGTGACAGGATAAAAGACCCTTTGTACAGATAACCTGATTATCAGGGGACAGAAACTAAATCAACTGCAAAGCCTACAAAGTTCTTCAGCAATACAAACCTTGATAATTGTAAAACATTAGGGAGTCAGTTACAAACCAGAGGACACTGTCTTTTCTTAATTAAATCATATTCTTAAAAAAAAAAAAATCGTGACAGTCAAGCAAAATGCAGTAAGGGGTAAGTTATACTCATGACTGGACTTGGAGATTGCAACTTTGCTGGTTTTTTTTCCTCTTTTCTACTTGTAGATCATTCTCTGTCTCTGATTACTGGTTGTTAGAGTATGCTTTGGGCCATAAGCACTGACTAGAGAGTCTCTATGGACGTCTGCTGCAGTATGCTCCCTAGAAAGCAATATTCAGAGGTAGGCACTTGGTCTAGTGGTTAAGGCACCTGCATCCCAAATGTCAGTGCCTGGGTTTGAGTCCTGGCGCCACTCTGGATTCTAACTTCCTGACAGTGTTCACCCTGGGAGGCAGCAGGTGATGATGGCTCAAGTATTTGGGTCCCTGCCATCCAGGTGGGAGATGGATTGAATTTTTTAAGGATTCATTTATTTGAAAGGCAGAGTTACGGGGGAGGAGGGGTCTTCTCATCTGCTGGTTCAATCCCCAAACATCTGCAATGGCTGGGGCTGGGCTAACCTGAACTCAATAGCCAGGAACTCCATCCCTGCATCCAGGTCTCCCATGTGGGTGCAAGGGCCCAAGGACTTGAGCCATCTTCCACTGCTTTCCCAGCACATTAGCAGGGAGCTGGATCAGAAATGGAGCAGCCAACACTTGAACTGGAGCTTATATGGAGTACTGGCATCACAGGCGGTGCCTTAACCTACTGGGCCACAACGCTGGACCCAGAAATAAATTTTGAAAGGACTATTAAGACCAAACCCATGGCCCTTACCTATTAAAACTGATGTGGAGGGGCTGGCACTGTGGTATAGCAAGTAAAGCTGCCGTCTGCAGTGCTGGCATCCCATATGGGCACGGGTTCGAGTCCCAGCTGCTCCACTTCTGCTCCAGCTTTCTGCTATGGCCTGGGAAAGCAGTGGAAGGTGGCCCAAGTCCTTGGGCCCCTGCACCCATGTGGGAGACCTGGAAGAAGCTCCTGGATCCTGGCTTCAGATCGGTGCAGCTACAGTCGTTGCAACCATCTGGGGAGTGAACCAGTAGACAGAAGATCTCTCTTTCTCTCTCTGCCTCTCTGTAACTTTGACTTTCAAATAAATAAATAAATCTTAAAAAAAAAAAAAAAAGACCTGATGTGGCAACGTCTTTCTAACACAAGCACCTCCCCTGTGTAGTCTGTGTTCTGCCTCACTGTAGAAATCGGTGCTCTGCATACCCTGGCAAATGGACAGTTGTTGTAAGTTTATATTTTGTAACAATAATAGTAATGTTTACTGAGTACTTACTGAACTCAGCTGACCCCAACCTAGCTCAGTACCCACCTCCTGCTATCAGCTCTGGAGATGTTCCTTTAACCATTTTACCCGCCCCCCCCCCAAATGTAGAAGGCCTAGGCTTATTCTAAGAAGGAGGTCATTTAGCCCCCAAGAGACTAAGAGAATCACCCAAGGTTAAATGATGCTCTTTTTCTTTTGATCCTGCAGCGTGGTCCAGTCACTACTTGAAGAGTTCACATGGTTCCAAATCTACACATAGACAAGTAAGTGTTCTCAGCCACCAGGTCTCCTATAACAAATAAGAGCACGGGCAAGGAAAGAGAGGAACCATAGAAAAGGAATTGCAACTGGAAACCCTTGTAAAGTTTGATATCTAGTTGGCAAAGCCAAAGTCCCAAGAGAGTAGAGCTCTATTTAAACCTAATGTTTTGGGGGTGGTAAATTGATTGAACTCATGGGCTAAAATAATCTAAAGAGGGTTATTTATTGAGAGAGGTTTATTAATCCATTAAGGTAATACTTTATCGTAAGTGGCCAGACTTATTACTTTAGTTCAGCGATCCAAGTTATTTCATACATTTGAATAAAATAACCTGTGCTCTGAGCAGTATAAAAAATAAGCATCAAATTCCATTGTGTGTGTGTGTGTGTGTTCTGTTATATTCCTAGCCTAGGTCTTTCCATTATTCTGAAAATCACAAGATCTTCCATACTATGAAATATGCAGCTGATCTGGAAAAAAAAAAATTCTCAACAAAGTCCTAGGTTTACCTTGATAAAATGAAAGTTTTATTAATGTGTTTAAAGGGATGATGCAAATAAATGGAACTTACTTTTGTGACACCTTGGACCTCCAAAATAGTAATGAAATGAAATTACATCATTATATTAGAAAGTTTTTTAGGGGGTGCAGAAATGTGAGTAAACCATTTATGTTTTTAACCAAGTTTGCAGTTTAAATGTGTTTAAATATAACTTTCACTCTTAATAAATCATTTATGGCAGATGTTAAGTGTATCAGCATAACAGGATCATGTGG